GACGCTGCAATGAGTTCTTGCACGGGTTGCGATACATAGTGCGCTGCGATCCAAACACCACAATTACACGTAGATTTGGTACTTGACCTGTCGAAACTTCGTTTGGCGAAGCTCTGTTTGCATAGTACCTGGTGAGGCTAAGATTTTTGTGATGCATGTAGAATACTCTATAGCATCTCCTTAGTAGCGTAGTGACGAATTGTCAGCAAACAACATACATCGTGCCATGTTCAGCACGGTGCGATGCATTCGCTCGGCCTTACCATTAGAGGCTTGATCAAGCGCCCATAAGTAAAATATCCATGCCTACTTGGCTACAGAATAACTCCACATGCACGTATTCACCTCCGCCGTCTATAGCGACACGTGAATACGAACTTTCAATTGTCTCATAGAGGATTATATAATAATCCTAGAGCTTCTTTGCCGCTTGTTCCTTTGTTTTGTCGATTAAAACTCGATTGTAGTTAGACTAGTGGTCAATAAAGTCAGTCAAGTAGTCAAATATCACCAAGATAATACTTTGGCGTCGTAAGTCCTTTAAAATCGCTGGATATAGCTCCACCCACTCGATCCACTGGTGCTTTTCAATCCGAGCCCTTCTTGGACTGCACGCCCTTAGTCTGCTCCCTCGCGCACAAGTCACGCAAACTGGCCTTATCGTGTCCGTCAGCTTAATCCCCGACGTAGGATCCTGGTCTATGCGCTCAATTTTATCATAAGCCTAATGGGAAAATCGCCAGCGAATATACTCCAGTAAGCCCATACAAGTATCGACTTGAGGCTACATCACACCAGTATCTAGAATGATTACCGGAAACGTGCAGAAAGGATTAGTGTGATGTAAAAACGCATGCACTACAAGTACATCACCCTCCATTTTCACGTCAAATGAAACGTTGTCAGTAGCCCAGCCAACAAGTGCATGTCGTTCTGTCTTCCATGTTAGCGCGTAGTCTTTCTTCTCCAGCATGCCATACGACAAAATGTTACAGTGAGGTATGGGGCCGAACAAACATCAGTGAGTCGTATCTTATGCTGCTTTTCTTCAGCGTTTACGATCAAAATCACACACATTATTCTGGTCAGCTTAAGCAGAGAACCATAAGGTAGCACGCAATCGCTTCCACAGTCCCTTGTATCTTCAGGGAGACATTCATAAATTATTAGGTGAGAGCTAGACCCACCATGGATATTCTACATGTAGTGTTCACTTGTATCCGAATTCTGACCATCAAGTGAGGAATGTTCTTTCACATCAGCTTTTCCAGTCTTGTCTCTTTTTTGCAATTTAGTGATACATGTCCGATTTTCTGACATGAGTAGCACTTGCGAGTGTCTGCTTGCGGCCGATTGTCACTGATGCTTCAATGAAGTCTCTACCTACCTCCTTACCACTTTTCATGTCGTTCTCCACAAACTGAGCAAATTATGATTCATTTGCCTGGAGCAAGTAGTCGGTGTGCGTGTGATCGTACTTAGCCATCAAAACTGTTCGCAACCCACCTGAAGCGTACTGCAACGCATTTCCAGCACAAGTGACTCGGCACCGCCACACGAGTCACTAACAGCTACATATAAAGGTATTGCTCTGGTCATGACCTCTTTGAATTCTTCTTACTTTCCTGCAACCTCATTGCTCGCGCTGATACATCTCTGTCTTGAACGTCTGGTGTTGTCTCTCAATGAAGTGCTTTAGCGTAGGTATCTCGATCCACCAAGCCTCATGTTGTTTATTGAAGTACCGTTTGTCCGTCCCGCTAAGATAGTGTCTCATCAGGTCTGCCTTAATCTATTTGCTCCACTAAAAACCACATGCGAGCTGCGCCAGGTTGACTTGTCAAAAAAATTATAGTCCAAAAAAGGCCCCACGTCTTAAATACAGCTCTTTTACATCAAATAATGTATGAAAGTCTTTCGCTGACGAGTGCCCTACACAAAATGGACACTGATAAATGTTAGAAAGAGGGGGCTAAACACAATTCTGCCGTTGCTGGTGCTTCAGCATCTGTGGCTTGCATCAGTACACCCTTTACATTTTGCACCAGAGAGATCAGATTCGCTACATCACCAAACTTATTGCTCATTCTTGCTATGGTGTGCACTTTATAATTGAGCGGCTATGGAACGAGCTCGGTCGACGACTAATACGATGCTTTTACCAGATACGGTTATTGAGGTACACGCTATTATTTTATGGAGTTAAACAGACAATCGATTTTTCTTTTAATTATGTAGGCTAAAATTTGGACCGTGCACACAAATTTAGGAAGCCTCACTAATGACTTCAACCATCACAGCGATCTCGAGTGTAGGCTGGATGCTTCTGCACCTTCTCTTCGATTATTATCTTTTGAAAGGCCACAGTCGTATTTCGATAGTGTCGAGTCGAAGTTTTCTCTCACTAAAGCGTCCAAAAATCATTTTTATAAGCTTAGGCCGATGCCGATCCTACGGTGTTAATGTCTCATCATAGGGGCATCTAGCTAGGAATGATGACGTATTCGTTGTGTTGTTCGATGTGATATATACCATTTATATGGCTTTGTTGTTGCATGCGTCACAAGAAATGGCTGATACTTTTTAAAGAGACGACACCACCGATATTTCTGGGAAATAAAAGAAAATATTCGAATTATTCTAAACTGACTCTTTTTATCATCATTTCGTGTAGAAATTAAGCATGGTAATCTACATTTTTATGAGAGACAATGTGAAGTGTGGCTTCGAATAGTGGCAAAATGTAACACCTTCACCCGCAGAAAAATTTGCTGCAAAGTTGTAGTTTTGCGTATGATATGGTTGCAAATAAACATGCACAATCGACCCACATTTCAATATAACAGGTACCTCATTGCTTCGTGAGATTGACTTCATCTGGTATTATTACGAAAATGTAGGTTATGACTAGCCCTTGTTATGGGATCCTTGTAAAACAACGCCAAAAAAGGGGCGAAGGCAGCTCAATATCGACTCTGCCTCGTTCAGCGCCGTGAAATTGCACTTAAGCACATAACCGCCAATTTTACGAAACAATGGCGTTCGCTAGCACGAGCAGAGTCATGACTAGGACAACAGGGAGACCAGAGACTTTCGTACGTGATCAATGTCAGTTAGCAACAAGTAAGGCTTGACTTATGAAACATGAAAAATTTGTGCGACTACAAGGCAAACATAAACGCACGGAACGGGCAGCGCGCGGTAATGAAAGTACACTGGAGACCAGACGACGAATATCGTGCGAGTTATGTGATGCATTTCTCATACTTGACAAAATGGTTAAGCAGCTGGAAGAGGAGCGAGATGCAGCAGCTGAGTGGAATGATTGACCGCATTTTTTATGTAGGAGGTGCACAAACTGACGATTATTCCGAGTTCCGATGATATAGATCGTGACGGAAATGCTCCAAAACATTATGGTCATGACTTCGCATGCGCGAACACTAAAACGAACTTGAAATACCTGATAGGTGATCGAAGCGAATTTCATTTTGATCTTCACATATGCCAAAGCAATGTGAGCTTTACATTAGCAAGAATACTGGAAAGTCAAGTTAAAGAGCATAGCTGTCAATGTGACCCAGAAGGCTGTTGTAGTATTGTTGATATTTACTTTGACGATCGTTTTCGTACTTCGCATTTACACATGAAAACACTTTTCCAGCACCCGTGCGTGTTACATTTGATCGGATCAAGCGTGATGTTTACAATGTGAATAGAGAGATAAAGATTGAATGGGTAGACAAAGTCTTGGAATAAGTCTTGCCGATGTTTTTGTGAGGGGGGGGGCGTTCGGCATACATATCGTCGTTTACTAGAACTTGACGATGTCCGAAAAATTCTGCTCAAGATTTGTCGCTAAGACGAGACCTCGAATTGTCCAAGTGTTGGAGCTGCAACTGACTGGACTATTTACGATCGGTCAGCCTATGTAAAACTTGTAGTGCGGATTAACTAATGTTGTTCATTAAAAGGATAAAAAGCGCCGTGTTGTGCGAATCTCGATGGCAGCGTAAGCGATTCTACCCATTTCGTTGATGGACGCGAGCGTATTCAATAAAACGAAACGACCAAGTTGGCAACTATCGGGGACACTATCGCACTGAAAAGGAATCAAAAGTGCATGGTCATTCGACCGCTTTTCAGAGGCCCAGCAACTTGCATCCTCTTGCTGCTATTTTTGCCAAGCGAATTGCTAGCTAAAATGACTGACCAGAATTCGATTGCCACATGGGTGCTAAGGTTGACGTGAGCACCGTTGCAAAGCATGGGTGTTAGCATGAGACAAGCTCCGTCATGAACTATCGATTGCCAGATTGCAAAACGCTGCTACATATGATCATCAGAGGCTACAGAACGTCATCAAGTTTCCGCATTTCTAACGTTTCAGAGGTTGCTTCTCACTGATAAAGTAATGGAAAGTAATTTCAACCGAGAAGGGAGATACTCGGACCAAAGGCGGGTGATCCCATGAAGTGCACGGATCGATAATTTGCTTTACGAGAGAGTACGAACGCGGACAATCCTACTTGCGACAGTTTTTTAGTAATGTGTGGTTCACGGATGTCGTGGATATGAGGAGTTGTATCAGGTTTGTACCTCACTCTGTTATTCTGTGACGACGCAGTCATCCTGCAACGTCGTCTGACGCGAACAGCGACTGCGCGGGCAAACGAACGAGATGGCATCACTTAGCTCCCTGCTCGTATATCGTTTACTCTGCCATCACCATTTGTATCTACACAAACACTACTCGCTCCAAAAGCGATACAGACATTTACTTCCTGCTTTTCCAGGAACTGAGCTCTGCATGCGACATTTTATCTGAGTCGAGTTTAAAACCACGCCGAAATTGAAGTGACCGACGATCGGAAGCCAACATTGTCCGCAACGGCTTTTTTCTACTCAAAATCATCGTTTCACGTGAGGTTTTGCAACTCTTTTTGACGTGAACCCACACTGCCGCCAGGTCGACCTTCACTCTGTGATATCAGCAAAAGATGCTCCATCCGCGCCCGCGTTTGCCCTGCGCGTTCTCGCGTCTGAGCGGCTACGTGCAGGACACAATCGTCCCAACGTTTCACTTCCAGAAGAGTCTGCCCCGTCTGCCGATCCCCAAGCTCGAGGACTCGCTCGCCCGCTACCTCGCGGCCCTTGAGCCGGTCGTGACCCGACCGCAACTCGCCGAGACGGAGCGCGCCGTGCGCGCATTTATGCGCGGCGTGGGACCCGATCTACAGCGCGCCTTGATTGCGCGTGACGTGTCGCACCCGCACACGTCGTATATTAACCAATGGTGGCTCGACATGTACTTGACCGACCGCCAGCCGTTGCCGGGCAACTTCAACCCGCAAGTGAAGTTGAAGATGGACCCTGTGGAAGCTAAAAATAGCCAAAGTCAACGCGCAACGTCGTTGATTGCGTCATCGGTTCGGGTGTACCGTACCTTGCGCGACGGGCACTTGAAGCCGGACGTTTTCCACACCAATTCGATCGTGACTACCACAACGCCTGCATTTGACTACTATTGCAAACTCTTACCAGAACGGGTGAGTTTCTATGGCGCTGCCGCACTGGGCGCGTACCCACTCGACATGTCGCAGTACAAGCACTTGTTCGCCAGTACTCGAGTGCCCCGAAAAGGCCGCGACGTACTCCAGATCGCAGCGACTGCGTCCAAGCACGTGGTTGTGCAGCGCGGCACTAAGTTCTACAGCTTTGATGTGCTCACAGATAGTGGAGACGCGGTCAGTGACGAGGAGATTTTGGGCAATATCGAGGCCATTTTGGCCGAGCCGATGGCTACAAAGTCAGACGAGACGCCAGGAGTGGGACTGCTGACAACGTTGAATCGTGACGTGTGGGCGGACGCCCGGCTCAAATTGGAAACGACAGATGGTGCGAATAAGAAATCATTGGAGGTGATTGACAGTGCCCTTTTTATGGTGTGTCTGGAGTACAAGGCGCCCAAGACAGCAGAAGAAGTGAGTCGTACGTTTTTACTAGGGGATGGCAGTAACCGCTGGTTCGATAAGAGTTTCCAGCTCATTGTTGCTGCCAATGGCACGGCATCGGTGAACTTTGAACACGCTTGGGGCGACGGAATTGCCGTGCTGCGCTACATAAACGAGTTGTACAATGACAGTGTGAAGTCGCCAGTCGTGAAAGCCAGTCGCCAAGGACAGTTCCGTGAACTTTCATGGAACATTCGTGGCGAGATGATGACTGTCCTGAAACAAGCCAAGATGCGGTATGAAAAGTGGATGTTGAAGCTGCTGGTAGCGTGTGCCGAAACGCCCGTTACGCGCGCGGTCGGTAAGCAATACAATATCGGTACCGATGGACTCATGCAGATGACCATCCAGCTGGCGCACTTTAAACTGCATCAGAAGTTTGTGGCGACGTATGAAAGTGCCAGTACCGCTGCATTCAAGCACGGACGGACAGAGACTGTGCGTAGCTGCACGAATGAGGCGGTGAACTTTGTGCATAAGATGGTTGACGCCTCCTGCTCGGACACGGAACGAGCCAATGCTCTGCGTGCAGCTGTAGCGAAGCACAGTGAGTTGACGAAGAATGCTGTCATGGGTCAAGGGTTCGACCGCCATCTGTTTGCGCTACGAGCTATGGCGGAGCTACAGGGCATGGATGTGCCCGAATTGTATAAGCTCCCAGCCCATCAGACTTTGAACAAGATCATTCTGTCTACTAGTACGCTGTCAAGCCCGGCACTCGAAGGTGGTAGCTTTGGTCCTGTCAATGACGAGTGCTACGGCATTGGCTACGGTATTGAGAAAGAAGGGTCGGCGTTTCAGCTTTCGGGCTTCCGCGATGACGTTTCTCAGCTGAAGGAGCTGCTGGTTGAGAGCATTGTTGACTTGGAGCGCCTGCTGGCAGACACGACTCCCAAGAAATAGATTGCGACTGAACTTTCGTCGATCGTGAATTTGCGTGGACTGAGATTCGGAGGTATTGTGATGGGTTTAATGCTTTCAATAATAGTGACTACTACGGCTTGCTAAGAACGGTCATTATCGGTGCATCGCTTCATCATGTCGGTGTAGTTTTGCGTCGCGAAGTTTCGACGCACAACATTGTCTTAATGATGTGCTTGTCGGAGCAAAGCAGAACAGATGGAGCCAGGAGGTAGTGAGTCGATGAACAGGTCAATGCAAACAGTGCATCCAGAGTTGAATCAACGCGTACGAGCCAATGCACACTAGTCGCTGCAAGTGGCGTTAAATAGTAGCAGTCGTGCAAACAGGTGAGGTAGCTGAATTGCAAGTTTTTGTCTGCGAACGTCTTTACGCGAGTGTGAGTAAAATGTTCTTGTGGGTGATGCGGTTATTAAACCCACGATATGCATGCATGGAAAGAGAAGTCGAAAATGGTGTGGCTAAAAAGCAATAGTACGAGGTGATGCTGAGCCATACTCAAGGTGCACGTGTTGCTAAAGAGCTTACCATGTTTATACAATTATTGCCTGCAACAAGATTAGGGAAACGCGGCACGAAAGTTATTGTTTTCTTGATCCATCGAATATGTCACCTAACCGGTAGATTTGTAGCTACAGAGGTTCACGCAAGATTTCGTCCGGGTTACGTTCTGTAGATGCAAACCGGTATCGCTTGAGGCTTTAGCAGCATTCAATAAAGCATGCGTTTCATGTCTAATCATGTTAGGGCGTGCACTCTTGCAAGCACGTAAAGGCCCTTACTACAAAAATGCGCAGTGGTTTACGCGCTCTAGCGCCTCTGGATATTTGTTACTCCATTCGGCCTGACGAATACGCGTTCCAAGGCTCGTTCCTTCTATTTAGCAGTGACTTATGTCGATGGTAATATGAGATGGGGTAGTAACTGCTGCCACCGCAACACATCAAATGGATGACCCGCTTATGTGAAAGCGCCACAATTTTTCGTGTCTCTATCGAGACAGTGCTGTGACCAAAAATGGCAGGGACGGTGAATCGCTGCTCTGCGCTGGCTGCTGGCTGGTTTTAGAAAAATGATGCACTGCTGACGACTGGAATGGAATGTTCAGTCAGGTTGTCTTTATTCCATACGATCTACAATCAAATGGCCACGAACTACGATATGGCCTGCGGCAATCGACTAGATGGCGCTTTATATGCAACTTTCAAGATAGAGCTTGCGTGTTCGATATGCGCTTCAAGCAGTGTATTATTATCAAGTATGAAATGCTGTGTTCGATTTGTTCAGCACAAAGTCAGTGATGGAAGAAGTCGACGCGGATGGGCTGCCAACACGCTTTCGATGAATACCGCTCTTTGCAGTGATTCGAGGCCAGCCCTTTTAGATCAACTTAAATGCGCGGCAATTGGTCTTGCGCAAAGGTACGCAACTTCTTCATGTCCAATGTAGCTCATTGATCTCGATATTTTCCACGCGACGGAGGGCTATTGCAACGTTGCGCACTCGCCACTCCCACGTTTGACATATCGTACCATGCTTCCGTAGCGTCTTTCACTGCTCCGAGCTGTGTCTTTGGACCATGTAATTCAGCAGTTAAAGTGCCATGTGCTTGGGGATGTTTATCTTCTTGTTTTGCACAGACCTGTTTGTACTTGGCCAAATATCCTTAAGTTGAAATGCTACAAACATTAAGCCACGGTCGCGGAACTGCGGGAGCCGATTTAAATATTCTTGAAAGTGAATTGAACTGCCGGAGCCGATTCGATTATTCTTGAAAGTGAACAGATCGGCTTGCACAATACGCTGACCTGATAGAAAGAGTCTGCGATTGGCCTGTGCGATATGTTGCCTTCCGACAAAGGTCGTCCACAAACTTTCATCGACCAGCGGCTGAGATAGTTGCAGACATAGAAAGTAGGGACAGCAGGTGCTGCACAAACTATCATGATTGACTTTGGCACTAACTTATCAGCAGTGCATCAAGCGACTTCAGCGGTGGGAAGCATAATATTGGATCCGGTTTCAGTGACTTTCCCTTGCTAAATGAACCTTATGAAGTTAATGCAGAGCTCACAGAGCTGCAAAGGGGTCTTGTGTCATGCCACCGGGCTCCATAATTGGCGACAATTCCGAAAAGTCAAAAGTCAAATACTTCTTATTGAAATCTGACAGACGCTCATGGCAACCAGAGGCAGCGAAAGGTCTATTGTACATTTTCTCATTAACCGACAACATTCGGGATCTATTCACAAGCTCCAATCCGTTGAGAGGCCAGAGCCAGGGAGGGGTCTTTGAACCCTGGCTTCAATTAAGCTTAAACATAAAAACGTATTTTAATTATTGTACCATTGGAACAGGCCCCAAACATTTTGTCTATGGAATGAATTTTAACCCAGCGAAAAAATAAGGTGTACCAAACGATTTTTTTGGATAGTGTTGATAGCGAGTGCACTTCATTCACTAGAAATTCATTCAGCCACTGTTTAGCAGGCTGGATCAGAACCGGTTCGTATAAAGACAATCATATGATATATAGAAGAACCATAAATCTCCCCTCAGTAATCTTGTACAACCTCCTCAGTTCGATACACCGACACATGATTGGCTATACTTTATTGGTACGTATTCGCCCCTTTTGACTGGAAAAACGACCTGTATCACTTCTGTCCTATGCGATTCATCTTTTTGACAGACTCTTTTTAAACTGTTCACTATACATTTATCTATACCTGCACGGAATGAACGCTCTCGCACCTCCAAGAGAGGTTGTTATGGCACACTGGGTGAGGCGGAGAAGGCGATTACTGGACACGCGCTCGAACAAGGCTACGAAATACACGTACTGCGTACGCGTATAGTTGAAACCGTAAGGACGGTGACGTGAAGAGTCGATACCTCAAACTCTCACAGGCTGGACCCCCGGTAAGTGGTGATAATCGTGCCTGCGTGCGCGTGTCTGCTGACCGCATAGTTGGGTGTCCGTTACGTGTTTTAATTGGCTAAGTTAAATCGAGCAATCTAAGTGAAAGGTCATAGTCATTTGTGCGCACCATAACCACAAAGCTTTGAACAAACCTCGGCTCATAAGAAGGGAAGGGAGCTGACGCCAAAAGATAAAGCTTACGTTACAGCTTTAGGTCAAGCAGACATTTTACCAAGACGTGTTCTCACCTCGTTAATATAGCACTTTACTGATCTTCATGCGGCATCCCAAGACATCTATAAGATGCGTCTTTTCGCTTGATCAGAGTCGAGATGCGTGTTGGTCGCTCGACGATCCAATCACTACTCGACGATCTCGAAAACACGGATGTGGCGTACCATATTCAACAAACGCCTGGATGCATGCAGCTATCACATCTCTTCTTGTATCGCCTTCAGAACGCATTACATGTGCCAAATTCAGCAAAGGATGTGTTTCGTTGCTTGATGCAACCAATAGCACAAATCGTTACGGTCTCCTTTTGTGCATGTGGTTGGTATAACATCAACTAATGCCTCATTAACCCAACGATACTTTTTTCTGAGAAAGGAAATAACAGCGGAATATTGCTAGGCAAAAAAGCTGAAATAACAAATTACGAATAGGGTATGACCCACCAACTCACCTTTGTAATGGATCGGGAACTCGCACTCATGACCGCACTGACCGAAATTTCTCCAACGGCAAACGCGTTATTTATGCCGTTGAAATTTAGCAGAACATGAGTTCCAAGCATCGACAGCGTGTTGTTTCAAACGCATGAGGACTTTAAACATTTCATCCAAGACTGGAACATGCTCGTAAAATTATCTACTTAACCAGAGTTTCAATCCCGACTCGAGAAAATGCGTCGATACTTGTACTAACCATGCATTATTTGGCAAGCACACGGCTAAAGTACAAGCTAAAAGCCTGCCACATTCTTTGTCTGATTTGATCCATCTAACAAGATATTCTCGTTTGTCAAAATTTAGGAAAACGTTTGGCAACGCTTGGATGCACGTAAATCCCCATTATGGGCACGTCTTATCATCCTTTGTTGAGAGTCATATGCGGCTTGAAAGAAATAGATTTGTGTGTCTACAGATAGGAGCATAGTCACCCGGATAACGGCTCTGTGATGTCTCTAATGTGTTCAAATAAGTTACATGTCTCTCAGGTGATATCCTGGCAGTAAATACAGCGATAAAGCTGACGTGTGATAAGCAATTTGTCAGCATAAGGCAGCTACATGCCATGTAACTTACTATTGGTGACATGCAGCTTGGAGCCATGTTCGGCTCTGTAATGGGTAAGGTCTCGGCGGTAGCCCTACAGGGAGCGCAAACGAACTATGAATAGTTTTATTGGGCAGGGACTGTCAAGACCTACAAAGGACAACAATGGGATGCCCGAGTGCTCGCGATTTTCAGCTGCGTGGCAACGAACCGTTAGATATTTACAATTTTGTTCTTCGTCACTGTGAGGTTAATCCAAATGTTTCAACATTTTGGCATATAATCACTAGAGATGAATGATTTCCATCAGCAATAAAGGCTAATTAAAACCAGCGCGTACAAGTTCGGACATTCTCTCGAATACCTCAACTACGTCCAGGGCAATCTAAGCGGTGGATGAATCATATACTTGTGAGCCTTCGTTACACAAGAAACACCGTTAGCTTGAATCAGTTGTCGGCGCTCCAGCTACCGCAAACGAGGTACTTGATCCAGAAGTCGTGCAAATGCGTGGGATGCCATTAAAATCGACCCGAAAGCGTCATTCATCTGCATCATCGATGCGCACAAATTCGTTAAAATGGTATCGTAGCGGTATCCCTGGTCGTTGTTATAAGTGAAGACATGGCACTTGAGGAGAAGGGTGGAGAAACTATGCTGGAGAGATACAGCGGAGACAGGCGCGCAGTATGAACAGCTCTTGAGGTAGTGAAGAGCGACCGTACGCAGCATATGCAGTGCGCTACACCTATAACCTGTAACTTATTTCTCGGCGGCCGAATTAAAAAATATGTGCTCACCGTTTCCCACAAACGAAAACGCCTTTTGCAACGCTCCGTCGCACAGCACACGACAAAACGTTTTTGCACGTTTCCACCACCAATCAACGTACTAATTCAGTCAACAACGACAAAAATGCCGCGCCCCAACAAACGGCAACGGCACTTGCAGCTTGTGAGAGCTGTTCTGGAAAAGAAGAGGACTGAAGCTAGGCAAGCAGAAACCGCAGCCAAAAGTGACAAAGTAGAAGACGGACACGAAGGAAATGGCACCAAAAAGACGGAATGTGAGATTGAAGCGGTGGAAGACGGACATAAATGGAATGGCAATCAAGAGGCGAAAAGTTTGAGTGTTGAGGAAGATAATATTGAGCTTGAAATTGAGGAGTTCATGGTGGAGGAAACGGCGGGTATCCTTGACAAAATTGAAGAGGTGGTTAAGTTTGCCCGCAGTAACCGATCTATGCATTACATTGGCAACGCACCGAGAATCCAACGCCGTAAGCGTGCTGAACAGAGGTAGGCGGTATTTGGTTTGCGAACGCTTAAAACGTACTTTCCTGTTGTGCCGGCGAAGACCCCTGCACAGGCTAAGGCGCAACCTGCCAGTGGTGGCGACGAAAATAAAAGTTCACCAGACGACAAAGAGCCGCTTTACTCTACCAGCAAGCTCATTGAGGCAATAGACAGACTTAGCAAGGCGAAGAAACCACAGATAAATGTTATGTGCGTGCGCCTTGCTTCAGTTGAAGGATATTTCAGACTTGTGCTCAGTGGATATTAGGTATGGTATATCACTGTCTGATCTACGTTATAATGCTTTCCTGTGATTATTTTACCAATTGCCTTTCATATACCCAGAACATTGTAGCTTCGCGCACAATTGCCACGGTAAACGGCAAAGGTTGTCGTTGGTTTGCCGTGATGCTTCGTGCTTGGCACGGGAATACCTCGATACCGGCAAAATGCCTCAGAGCAAGCGAGGAAAACACGTCAAAACCATCAGCTTGCTCAAGGACGAAGATGTTAATGATGAGGTGCAACGATATCTTCGCATCAACAACTTTTACGTTTAACAAATCGATTTCGATAATTATGTCAATGAAGAAGTCCTTTCGAAGATTGACCCCGATGCATCCGTTCATGCCGATGAAGCCACTCGTTGGCTGTAAGTTCTTGGCCTGCAATACTCGAAAGTGAGAAAGGGCATATAAGTTGACGGACACGAACGTGCAGACGTGATCGCGTATCGGCAAACGATATCTTCGCATCAACAACTTTTGCGTTGAACAAATCGATTTCGTAATTATGTCAATGAAGAAGTCCTTTCGAAGATTGATCCCGATGCATCCGTTCATGCCGATGAAGCCACTCGTTGGCTGTAAGTTCTTGGCCTGCAATACTCGAAAGTGAGAAAGGGCATATAAGTTGACGGACACGAACGTGCAGACGTGATCGCGTATCGGCAAACGATATCTTCGCATCAACAACTTTTACGTTGAACAAATCGATTTCGATAATTATGTCAATGAAGAAGTCCTTTCGAAGATTGATCCCGATGCATCCGTTCATGCCGATGAAGCCACTCGTTGGCTGTAAGTTCTTGGCCTGCAGTACTCGAAAGTGAGAAAGGGCATATAAGTTGACGGACACGAACGTGCAGACGTGATCGCGTATCGGCGCAATTTTCTGCAGCGAATGGAATAATTCGAACCCTTCATGCCTACGTTTGAAGGGCCTGGGATGGATGTTGCGGTGTGGCCATAAGGCGAAGCGATAATTCTAGTCATGCAAGATGAAAGCACGTTTGATGCGCACGACGGCAAGAAAAAATTGTTGCTTCCAAAAAGAGAACATCCTCTTTGCAAAAAGGGCACAGGAAGGTCCGTACATGTTAGCGACTTCTAACTGACGTTGGTGTTTGTTATGAAGTATTGCCTCGAACTTCACATGACTCGTTGCACTGAAAGCGCAACTTGCATTGTAGGAGGCCGCCTCGTGTTGAGCGCAGACAAGCAAGCTGCGCGCCTTAACGCTGCAAAGGAAGCTTGCATTATTTATGCATCCCGGACAAACATATGATGGTTAATGGAATGCTGAGCAACTCTATAAGCAGGTTCGGGACGTCGCCATTTTAATCTTCAACGCGCAGTTTCCTGGTTCTAAGGCCCTTTTTGTCTTTGACGATGCGACTAGCCGTGCGACCTTTGCAGACGATGCTCTGGTCGCATCACGCATGAATTTTGGACCTGGAGGAAAGCAACCAGCAATGAGGGATGGGTTGCTTCCTGATGGAATAGCCCAATCTATGGTGTTTTCTGCCGACCATCCTCTCGCTGGGCAAGCAATGAGAAATTAAGGCTGTTCTGCAAAAACGGAATCTGTGGACGCAGAATCTTCGTTTGGATTGCCGCGACAAGTGCGCTTACACCGGCAGTTGGTGCGCCCACAGTGTCATCCATAATCAACCTCATATTAAAGAGGCAAAAAGGTCTTTGGAAGAGACTATCAAAGCAGCCGGCCATCACATCATTTTTACCTCAAGTTCCATTGCGAACTGAACTTCATCGAAAGTTCTGGTGAAAACCAAAACGCCATGCTCGAAAAGTTGCTACTACACGTTCGAATGCCTCGAGCAGATGGTCACGAAATTCCTGGCATCCTTTTCTCTCACTTCCATCCGCCGCCATGCTCGAAAGTGCTTTCGGTGCATGGACTCATATCGGAAGGACCTGGCTGGGAAGGCCGCCGAATACGCCGTAAAGAAGTCTTGGTCGCACCGTAAGGTCCAAACTTTAATTGTGATGGATGCGAACGTTATAGCTGCTGCAAATTAGATATTTTTAGCAAAAATAATAGTAACAACAGGAAAAAAAAGAAAGAAAAGTCTACACAGAGATTTTTAGGGCGGCCAAATGTGCCTAGCCGCATGCTAAGGTTATTATAATTTTCCGAGCTTAAAGGGTCCTATGACTTCGCGAAAAAATTGTCAAATATATAATTGAGACTTTAGGGCTGAAGCAAGTGGCGTACTTCAGCCATCTATGGTCTTAGATTTGTGTCATAAGAAGTATGTGGTGACGAGTAGCTGAGTGATGGAGATAGGAAAATGTTACAAGTGATAGGTGGTGCGCACTGTATAGTTTATGAGCCCAATATCGGTAGCTTCGCATGATCTGCTTACAGATGAAAACAATTTCCTCCGAAATCTACCATGCCGATGGCGCTTGATCGGAAAGGAATTCTCGATCACGTGTTGAAGAAGCCAGATTACTTACAGCAGTCAAGCACATGAGATCCGAAAATCTAAAGGCTCTGGTTATCATGACGAAGTTAATATCTCCCACGTATCAGACTATGGCCCAAGCGGAACAGTCTGTGTATGATGCGTAGGATACCCTTCGGTCATTTTTCGTACAGCGGAACCTTCACAATAAGGTACGCTACGAAAATAGCTGATCAAGGTACAGCTCGAAAAGGAGGAAACTTGATGAATGTTCTTATGCGGTTTAGTGAGCTATGTTTCACTCTTTTAGCTGTTGGCGAGACGATTGAAGACGCATCATAAAAGAACTAAGTGGCGTGACATTAATGGGAGCAAAGGGGGTGCTCCGGTGGGAATATGAACACTCCAGAAACGTGACTGCAAGAATTTATCGTTCAAGACTGTCGGTCGTGAGGGTCGTTAAGGTTGTGGAATCCAGAAAAAGGCTCATATTTCTGAGCCGCTCACCCCCACGATAGCAACAATGCTAGGCAAGGAATGAAGTTCAAGGGAAATTCAATAAATGCAAGCGATGTGGGCACAAGAAAGAAAATTGTATTGAAGTAATGTATAGAAGCAGTGACGAGTTTGTATTTTCGGCAAAAGTTCGGAATAATGAACGAGATGCGTGGTTGCTTGACAACTTTGCAAGCAGTAATATGTCAAGTGACGGAAGCGATTTCACTAATATGGTCACGATAAATTCTCCAGTTTGGGTGATAGTGAACAATAAGAAATATGTGATAGTCAAAGTTCACTGCAGTGTTCGACTATATCTCGACAATGGAAAAACAGTCAGGCTCACTGATGTGAGGTACATTCCTAAGTTGGACGGTAATCTTTTTTCGGTGTCAGCATAAACTTTTTGCGGCGTCATGGTTCAATTTAATCAAGGTCATGCCACCATATCAGTGGAAAAGTCAGGCTTTCGCCGTGGTAACAAAGGTAGGACGGTTGTTTGCTCGGCATGTCAAAAGCTTAGTCATGGATACCGCCAGCAGCACAGTGACCGATTTCTCAGCCGATAGCATCAAGGAATTATGGAGCCAACGACTGGTACATGCATCTGATGCTAAGCCGAATATGATAAGCAAGGCATGTTATAAAGTCCGAACCTCAAACAAAAGGTAAAGAGGGCTTCAAGATTCTGCAGTGGTTACATGCATGAAAATATGGATGCATGATTTTTTAGCCACACCTCCGGTAGCGAGGTGAAGACAAGCGTTCTTTCGAGATCGTTCGTTGTGATGTAATGGAACCAATAATACCAGTGTCGAAAGGTGGTTCCGGATGCATCGTGAGTTTGCCGATGACTTCTCGCAAATGGCGTTCGTATACCCGATCAAGGCAAAGTCGGTGGTGTAGAGAAGTTCAAGATGTCAAAAGCTCAAGTAAAGACCAAGTACGACTCCAATATCCGTTGTATTGCTCGGATAATGGTGGAGAATACATAATCAAGCGGTTTAATGAGTACTGCGCGAATTAGGGATCGTGCATCAGACTTCGGCGCCTTACTCTTCGCAACAAAATGGTCTTGCAGAGCGAATTATTTGCTCTATTCGTGTTTAATCGAGAATCGCTGCTGCATATGCATGTTGATCGTGTGTGGTGGGCTGAAGCTCTCATGACAGTTGCAAACATAATCAGTCGAATTCCCAACAGCTCATAGGTCGACATGTCTGCATGGGAATCATTGGTCGAACAAAGCAGATATTAGCTACTTTTAAGTCTTCGGATAAAGTGGTTATATCAGGATTGACGATAGCAAACGGACAAAGTTGGGGTCCAGACCAATCGGTACATTTTCCTTAGATACTCCGGAACTTCTAAGACGTATCGCGTATAAGACTACGAATTAAGTCGAGTCATTGTCACTCGATCGGTGGTTCTAAATGAAAGACAGCTGACTCGTATAAAATGGTCATTTAAATTTACACCAGTGACGAACATGTATGCGATGATCATGACCTCAACGATTGTGCTTCCGTGTCTGGCACAGCTCCTCATGATTTGGATTTGTCAGTTCCCGAAGCAATGGATGTCGATGACATTGAAGATTCTGCGAGTGATGGTGTACAAGTACCTGATGAAGACTTCAATATGAAGAGCACCGAATACCCTCTGTCTGTTGGTGACAATGTAGATGCGAACAATGTTGACGAGATGCCCTTGATCAAGCAATTGTTCTTATCGAAAAGTATGATTTAATTCACATGCAACATTAAGAGCAATCGGTCCGATCTAATGAGATCCTACCGCGAGTATACATGCATCCTGAACTCAATACGGATCCTGTATAAAGATCAAATCATCTTGCATTCAGTGATCGTTCGAATCGGTAAAGAACACGGGCGAATGATTTTGCTCGTCTTCCTTCTCAGGAAGATGTTACGCGCCAAGAGCAACAAGACGTGACCAACACAGAACTGGTTACAATTTCTGACATAGGTGGGATGAAAAAACCGTGCGTAACCGCCAGAACAAGCAATTGCGTTTGAATGATATCGAATATGAAGTATCATCCGCTGTACGAGTTGTTCCGCAGATATGAGAAGAGGCAACGCAGTGAGATTTTTATCTCACACGCAAAATCACACTGGCATTTGACTAAACAACCACGTGGTGTGAAGGTGATCGGGTGCAAGTGGGTATTTACTAGCATGTGCAATGAACATGGACATATTTTACGCCACGAAGAACGTTTCATTGAACGAATTTTATTACAGACTAAAGAGATTGACTATTTCCACACCTATCTTCGGTTGCCAGTATCAACTCTATCAGAGTTCTCTAAAAATCTGTTGCGAGAGAAGCTACAAGATTCGACAGTTAGATGTTTGGAAAAACAGCCTCCACGTATGATGGTTCGGAAGATAAGGTCTACATGAAAGTCCTTCATGGTGGTTTGGAAGAGAAGGTATACATGAAAGTCCTTCATGGTGTACAAGCAGCACAGGATTTGGTTTGTGAGCTTCTACGCAGTCGTTATGGGTTGAAGCAAGCTAAGGCTGTTCGGTACAAGACTGTTCGTGCCGTACTTGCGGAATCGGATTTCATTCTAAGTCGTGCAGACCCCTGTGTGTTTTTGCGTCGTACCGGTCAAGGTACAGAAGGATCAAAAATTTGCGTCGTACTGTATGTTGACGATCTTTTGGTCGGGTGCGAGCGTGGTGAAGAAGCTGATAATGTCAGTCGCGAGTCAAGCGCACATTTTTTCCCGCTGGAGTAGATTGGTACCGCGCGCTATGCAATAGGGATGGAGATTAATTACAACATTGGTCAGGGACAGCTTCAATTGAGGCAAACGAAATGAATTTTTAAGATGGCGACCAAGTTTAACTGTGATGAAGCGTATGCCGTGAGAATCCATTGGTGTTTGTTCAAGACCTTGCGCCAGATGATTCGCATGACATCCTTGACGATACAATCCCCTATGGTGAGCTTGTGGGATCCCTCGTATATGTTGATAGCGCAACTTGAAAAGAAATTAGTTCTCCGTCATCAAAACCGTCGCAGTACCTCGACAGCCCGCGTGCAGTGCATTGGCGTGCAGCAAAGAGGGTGTGATATTATCTAAAATACACAAAAAGATGATAAAATTAAGCACTCCAGATATATTAACCGTGGAGCAGTAATGAAGGCGTGCTGCAACGCAAAATGGGGTGTTGAAAGGCACACTCGTCGATCAACTTCTGGTGCATTGATTTTCTCAGTGATGGTACAGTGGCATAGCAAAGCAAGCGCCAGTCCTCGGTGGCACTATCATCGGCAGAGGCTGAATATATGGCACTGGCCTTGGACACGCAAGAGGAGCTTTGGCTTCGGTATTTGCTTGAAGATCTTAGACTCCAATCATATGGTGCAAAAACGATCGTGATGGATAACAAGTCGGCAATCAGCATGGAGACGAACCTGGGTTGCACGCCTCGTGCGACACACAGCGATGTGGGGGCTCATTTCGTGCGTGATCATGCGAGCGGGTATCTGAGTGTTTTGACTCTTTGGCTAGGTCGATATCATAATGCACGCACGTGATTGGCTTAAAATTGATCAAATGTAAATATGATCGCATAAGCAAACGCTGGCTGCTCATAAGCAAAGTCGGATCACGTTGCTTTAGCATAATGTACTGGATTGATACAAATATGTACATTAAGAGCAAAAAGATTTATTCTTCAGTCACTGCTGTTGCTTAGTGTATTGCAATTTGATTATGTTCTCCGAACTGGATTACTAATACAAAAGGGCGAGCTCCAGAGCTTGCTTCCCTATCTTAGTGTGGTTGACACACTTTGTAGGAAAATCGATGTTGGTGGTGATATTGATTTGTATAAATTGTAGAATATACCCTGTTTTGGTTCCAAAGGGGTGAAAATTGGAAAAATAGTGGTGAAAATATCGTTGCCCTTTTTCATAATAAACCATGCCTGCCTCAGCGAACAAAAAGTGAGTAAGTTTTACGCACTGCTACGACTGGATTTGTTGTTATCTTGTGCGTGAATAGCGCAGGATAAAAGTAAATCTAGTCCTAGCAGTGATACTATGTTTTTTCAATACAACGGAGATAATGCCGACAACACGTTCGCACCAACATTGTTCGGTCCGAGATTTGCTACGATGTCAACGCAATAGCAGACCTAAGTTGAGTGTATAGCAGACCTTCGTATGCAGAAGTTGAGCGCAGTTTGATGCATTCTGCTGTAATACACTCCTCAGAAAATTAAAGTATAAGAGAGGCTGTTGTCTGCTCGTTCCAACTGCATCAACGATGTTATCCATCAGATCGAGTGAATCATGCTGTAGCTTCGATTCGCTAACGTCGCCGTTGTTGCTTAGGACTCCTGGGACGCCCCGAGTTGGAAGCGCCACCGAGTTCACCTCCGCCTGACCGTTTACTTCCTGCCACACCACCAGCATTCGTAGCTGCAGCTCCACCTGAACGACCAGATCCTCGGTCTCTCCAGCCGGGCCCGCCACGACCTGGCGCATTTCCTCCTGCAAACGCTCCTCTATTTCGCGTACTGGCATCTCCCGCATGGTTGCGATCGTTGCGCCGCTGGGAATGTTGCTGAGCATCTCGCGAGTTATGATGGCTGCGGCTCCGTGAGTGAGCGTCGCGCCCGCGATGGTCGTTGTGATGCTGTGAAGCATGGCTGCCAGCACCGTCTCGATGAGGACTACACGCACCACCTTCCGATTGTCTAGCCTCCGTCGCTACTGTGCTTTCTTTCTTGCATTTCCACGGAAGAATGTCATCGCTCACGGGCTCTACAGTCTGCGTGCGAAAAGAAATGGGTTCTTTGCCAGGCTCATCGAAGGCCCAATCTCTCGGCTCAGGCTCCTTTCGTATCAAAGTGTACCACATACTGGTTACTACACAGCAAAACGAACAATGACGAAAAACTCCACAAGACCGTACAATTTCCGTAAAGTACTCGTGTTCAAGCGCTTCTTTTGCTGTAATGCGCGTTTCAGGGTCTGTACGTACAACCACACACAAGCAAGTGAGCGAACAAGCACTAGCTTCCACCTACCGCACATAAACACGATAGACTTGTTACCATATTCCAGCAGTCTCGAGAGCAAGTCAAGCAAAGCTGCTCCAGCCCGGCCTGGACCAACCTTGACTGCGTTTTTCAGCTCCGAATGTGTCGGGTACTTGCGTTCACGCCCCATCTGCACCACGTGATGATACTCTGGTAGATTCTCAAGCCCTTCCCACGTCTGTGGCGTCGGCATCCCCAACACCTTAAAAATCTTATCCAACTGATCTTTCTGAAACGGTGCGTTCGACCCTTCCACTTCTTTCCCACAAAACAGCTCGCGAGTGTTTATGAGCTCGACAAAAATACAGCCAACAGCCCAGAGATCCACCGCTTTCGTATAATGTTTGGCTCCAAGCAACAGCTCGGGGGCGCGATACCAGAGAGTCACCACCACACGCTCGACATCCGACAAAGCCTTGATCGGCTCCTTATAAATCCGAGCAAGACCTAAATCTACAGCCCAAGTATCCAGCAAAATAATTCAGTTAAATTATCTAAATGTCCAACAAAGTATCCAGTCAATCAACGCACTCGATTCAAAAAGCACCGTAACCTATGTATCCACTTACCAGCCAACTTGACTTGTCCTCGTTTGCGTCCATGGCCAACCACAAGAATATTCTGTGGCTTCATATCTCGATGCATGACCCAGGCGTCGTGCATATAATCCACCCCTTTGAGAATCTGAAACATGAGCGACTTGCGCGTATACTCGCCCAATGGCTTTTGTTTGCTCTGGACGATAATGTCGTGCAGATCGTGGTCTCCGTACTCAAACACCAGCGCCAACGACTTGTCTCGGGCGTCCACGTGCACGTCGTGCAAGTGCACGACATTGTCGTGATGCAGTTCCCGCAATAGTTTGATCTCGCGCACTGTAGCACTTGATAACACCACGTCGTTTTTGCCCTCTTTATGCGATTTCACAAGTTTTATCGCAAACGTCAGGCGCTCGTCACTGGATTCTAAGGCACTGGATAAAGTCGAGGAGGATAACGACGTGGCACTTGAGGAGGGCACAGCCGCTGCGGCACGAGGATGGACTGCACCAGCTGATGCTTCAGCTTTAAAGACCATGCCATACGTGCCTTCGCCGATCTTGCCGAGCAGACGGTACTTGTCGGTTAACGTCTCGGGACGCCGTAGAGCCGAGCGACGCATGCTTTACAAAGTGGATATTTTGTACCTGGATAAAACACAGACACACAAGAGAGGGAGACAACCTGTTGAATGGCATCTCTCGCCACCCACCCACTTCCATTTTGAAAAAACACAAACACCCACGAAAGCGACACATCCTGTCGCTGCTGATATCGTTTTCTGCAGGGGTAGCGTCAAGCAAACTAGTACGAAAAACGGTGCAGTCAATCGAAGACGAGTTGTTGTTTTTTGTGCCGATAGTCAAAATTGTGTCGGCGTTACGATTCGTCGACTTTATTACCCAACGACATTCAAACGACATTATCGTAAACCGTCATGAAGTACCTGGAAGAACCGCAGCTGTCGTGGCTGAATGCTGTCCTGGGTAGCTATAACCTGGGCGACCGCGTCCTGACGGGCAAGCTTGAGACATACTCGTGCAAGAAAGCAGGCAGCGACAAGCGCTTGGCCAAGCAACTGGAGCTCTCGTACCAGCAGGAGATTGAGCTCTCGTGCAGCGATACACGACCACTGACGTCGTCATCGTTGGGTCCCCTAGCAGCCGCGGCCACTCGCAAACTACTTATAACTCTCATTTCGACTATGAACGCCAGCTTCCCCGATTATGATTTTAGCGCGGTTCGTCCGGATCAGTTCTGCAAGGTTATCGACTTTCGCAGCGCCCTCCAGCGTATCAATCACGACTTGGCTGAGCTGCTGGACGCAGAAAGCAACGGGTTTGTCGAAAAGATGTGGGAGAGCGTGGCCGAAGTGATCAAGCTCGACGAGTGTGACGTGTACAGCTACATCCCGGACATGGACTCGGACCCGTTCTCGGACGGCCACTTGTACGGATGTTTTTCCTCTGCCGTAGCGGCGATGGAGTTTAGACACAGTGTTTACAACAGCTATGGACTTACTAAGTGCGCGCTCGTGTCCTTTTGTGTGCTGGGGGAGCCAGGTGGTCATTCAACTACTTTTTCTACAACAAGATGCAAAAGAAGGTGTTGTACTTTACGTGCATCTGCAAAGGGTGAGGAAATATGGTTTTTGAAGCCTCTTTGTTTTTGGTTGAAAGTAAAAATGGGAGAGTTGTGGACTCACGACGGACTTTGGAATCAGGTTGACGTACGACTCTGCTACGGACGACGAGGTGATGGAAGAGTCAGATGCTATGGATGACGAGGGCGAAGATGGTATGGAGGACTACTTTGGCATGTCACCAGACTGGTACGATGCGGTGAAATCATGAAGTGCAGTGAACTGTTTCTATAGTCATGACTGGTGGTTGTGTGGATGGGCAGGGAGGACGGATTGTAAGCATTAGGCACGCACGCTACAAAATATGGATCTCCGACCTCCGCGTCCATCTTTTCTCTCACGGCAGCGCACCATTCTGCAGAGACGAAGGTCACGAGGATCCGTGCTTTTTACACTTCAATTTCGACGTGCACTTCAACTTCGACGTGCAGATATTTGGTACAAGTTTCGAAGCGAGAAACGCAGCTACGTTTGTCACAGGGCCATGGAAGGAGCTGCATAGTCGCCGTACTCTGGAGCTCCGATTTGCCGCTCTACTGTATCATCGGTTAATGTACACTTGTCTCTGCGCTGCATAGTTGTGGAGCGAGTTGCTCTCTGTTTGCGCGCAGGTGTTAAGACCCAGCGAAACGACCTTGAGCACGAGTCAGATCGTTAGCAGCGGTTTGGCAGAGTGTCTCTGCGACGTCGACGTCGCATCTTTGAACCTTGTAGTTTGCGCGGTTGTTTCAGATGGTGTCTATTTTTATCATTCCATTACAATTTGCAACTGGAACCTTGCCACAAGTGTCGAAGGGTGGTGTATGTCCAAGTGGTGTTATGAGCTCAGTTCATTGACAAGTGGCGATAAGAGGATAATAGACTGGAGTATATGGGCATCTCTGTCCGACCTCGAGGTGCAGCAACTGAGCTTTTTGCCTAGGAAGATGCAGTGGAGCTGCTGCGACGCAGATGATCACGGCAACTGGACTGTCGGCATTCGAGTGATTTAGAATCGATAACAGCTCAGAAAAGCTAGGACGATGTTGAAAATTCCATCCCAGCAACAACCGAGACACCCCGGAGTGAGGGGCACAGCAATAGCGGTTGTCACCCCCACCAAATTCCTACTATTCTGTGTCAGCCTTCGAGTACCCGGCCGGGTCGCCGAGCATGACTCCCAACCCACACATCGAACTTGCCTAGAACGTGATTTTCATCGGCCCAGTCCAGGCGCATCAGCGGCCGGCCCATCGGGGGTGGTCAGTATGGTTCCGGCGTTTTCTGCGACTCTAGCGCTCTGTCTGCACTCCGGACTGGGTATCCGATTCCACGTATCCTGTACGGAGTGCCCCCCGTAATGTCCGTAGTATCAAGCCAGCAGACTGAGCCAGCGAGAAGAAGATGATGCAGATTAGGTAGCAGCGCCCCAATATCGTATAGTCATAAGCACTTAATCGTTGTGCAGGGTTTACTACTACGATGAAACGAGAGGTTCTAGGTCTATCGACCGATTCAAAGCGCATCTTGAGGCTGGATCACTGTACAAGCGCATGTAGCACATGCGTATGAGAAAATGGAATCTTGCATCGGTTGGACGGGCGACGTCGCATACCCTCAGTATACACGCCACGGGCAGTGAGGTATCGAGTGACTTGAGGAATATTTCAGTCTGTCCTTGAGCTACGTTTACGTTGCTGCAATTGGTCCAGGTTCAATAGCTGCGTGAAGTCGCTCGCTTTCTCATCCACGGCGACCAGAAAAGCACGCAATCTTTTGTGAAAGACAAGGCATTCGTGGCGATAAAGAAAAGTTGCTCATGTTCATTGGGCGACGTCAGCCTGGTCGTAGTCTCTTTGGTCATACAGATGCCTCTCTCGCAATACAGGTGCTACACAGTCGTTGACGTAGAAAAAGGCGGCTCGCGTGCAAAGAATGACGTCTGCGTTAATCGAACTCTTCCTTGTGCTACAGATGAATGCGACCCCTTCATCGAGAAGGAAGGCGGCCACTCTATATCGAATCTAAGAATCAGTTTCCAACTGATCTGAAAAGCAAAGCACGCGCACGTGACTCCTAGCTTCCTACTCGGGGGTCATGGTGGTGCAAATAAAAGCACGTGTCGCGTGCAGACTTCGGACAAAATGCTGGGAGACATGTGCGCTGCATTCTTAAGCTGGTGTATCGTGTCATTTCCAAATTCTCCCTCCGGTCGTCAGTGCTTTGATCCGTCCAACGTGTAATGCGTCTCCCCAACGCAGTTTTGCTATCTGCAGCCATCGCCTTGGCGTCATACTTGGAAACACTACAAGTCCATGCGCTCGGCGGTGACGAGGCGGATGCCTTTGTCGGTCGCTCACTCCGGTCCGACACGACATCGGGCACTCATAACGAAGAAAGATTTATACCCGAGGTGATGGCATCGTTAAAGCGCTTTCGTGTGAAGTTGAGTTCGGCGCATACGGCTGCTGGGACAGCTAAGAAGGCTCTGTCGGATGATACGGCTATTGTCAATCAAAAGATTTGGCGAGCGCTTAAGGATTTAAACGACCATCTCGGGGACCTGATGAAGCAGGAGAAGATCAGCAGCGTCGGCGAACTTTTAAACCATCCAGCGGTGTACCGATCGTTAAAAGAGGCTGTTCAATCAAGAAATAAGAAGGAAGGCAACAAGATTTCTGTACGTCCGATTCAAGTCCTCTTGCAGCGCTTCGAGGTCAAAGAGATAAAACCAGCTATCAAAAAAGCTGTTGAGAGTTCTGATAACAACGTGAAGACTTTAGGCAAAGAGCTGAAAAATCGCTTTGAGACCGAACTAAAGATTATACGCATGTCGAAGGATTTTATTCAAAAGCCAAAGATAGCTAAATGAGAAGGTGTAGCCAGCCCAAGCTAGAAACTGTGCGTAACGTGAATGATGAGCTTTTTAAAATACTTTGTCTTTTGTGTGTGCGTTTCTAAATAACGCTTGTTGTAAATTATACATCGTACTACTGGTGACTACATCTGTCATTTCCTAAAACGTGTCGACGGATGACGCCAAATCTGGGTAGAAATCTTACACGTCATACTAAGTGCGACGCAGCATGTCCCAGGTTACACGGGGTCACACATACGGCTGGTAAAACCGGTGTAATGTTGTGTGATCCATACAAAAAGATATTACTAAAATCAAAAAGCGTATCTTTGTACCCAAGACGCTTGTTAGTTTTAATGATAACTTTTTGACAACGGCTAGATGGTTGAATTCGTCACATTACACTTTTTACGGCATCTCCCAGAGGCTATTTGGTGGAAGGCATAGTTATTCAGCCGTTTACCGGTTACCAATTACCGGTTTTTACCTCCCCTTAAGTCCGATGCAATTTGCACCGGAGGGGATTACGAACCTGCAATCAGAGACATGAAAATAAGCTTTCTGCGCCACTACACCAAGGGGCTACCCTTATACAACGGGTAGATGGTATCTAATCTCGAATGCATTCTAAAAAATTTCTAACAGTAAATATAACTTAGCTTTCTGTCCAATCAAAACCCGTTATATAGTCTTACTCATAAGAGTGCGTCGCAGCAGCGAAATAACTCGGGGGTAACTCAGGAAAAGTTATTTTTTCGTGATGCCGCCTACATTTTAAAGTTCTGTGATTCCAAGATAAACTTTTTGGCTAAATGTGAATGGCCCATGATTTTGAGATCAATTAGGTCATTGGTGGACAATAGTTGCAAATCATTGGCTCACAGGAGATCAAAAACAAACAAAGGCGACCACAAATTTAATAATCATGGTCGGCCGACCTAAATTCATATCATATAGTTATACTGACTGCTGTGACGTTTAGTGCGTATAAGTTTGTGAGGAAGTTATACTGGTCCTGTAACGGGGCACCCTTTGTCTAGGTGCCACGAAACTTCACGTGCACTAGTACGTGCAGAGGAAGCTTATCTACTTAAACGACTTGTTTAATCAAAGGTAACAAAAGGACTGTTATAGCTTTAACCTTTAGCTGACTACATTAAACTACGTCCACGTATGACGACAAACTGCTCACCACTCATTGCGCGCGTCTAGCAGCGACTGGTGGCAATCTATGGTTGATGTGTCTTACATCAACCAATCTTAGAGCATCGCATGAAAGATATCCGAAAGAAGGATAATATTGGTAGAATATTGTTATGCTAGACAATATTCCTATTTATACCGTTTAGTGTCAATATCATGTAACGGGCTACCCCGTTGCATCACCCCCCCCTTAACCATCAATCACCCGTTGATTGAATTATAATTGATTGGGACAGGGTGACCACCGTTGGATCACTCTGGGAAAGGGAGCACTTGCTGGTCAAATTCCATTCATTTGACAATCCAACGCATGGAATTAAAATCCACGCGAGCTGCTACTGCAGCATCAAGAAAGGCGGCTGCACGCATGCGTGCAGTCGGAAAGAGCACTTTTCACGCCTCGGCAGCAGGTAATTCGTCTCCCGTTGTTGTGAACAGTCCACGTGGTGAGTCACCGCGTGAGACAGGCACATCCGCTCCATCTGCAGCGGGTACCTCGAATCGTAATCAAGACGAGTCTGAGATAGAGCTCATCTATTCTGTCGAGTCGGATGATGCATCCGACTCGAAGGCGACACCTCACGCCTCCAAATCACCCGGAACGGACGCTGCAAGATCCAGGCTGACTGGCTCTGGTCAGTGCGGCAGTAATGTGACCGAGATCTTTGGATCGAGCAATTGTTCCGATGAGTTTCCGCCTCACACAAGTCCATCTAACGATAGGACGCGTGGTGATGGTGGTGATGCACCTATGCATTACCACGAGCGAATCAACTCAAGGGATCGGGGTAACACTGGTGCCAGTGCTCATGCTGGCACCAATCAAGAGGCCAGGGACCGAAATGTTCTGCGCCACGCTCCTCGAGTGGAGTCTCTTGGATGCCGCCATCCAGAGAGTTGGACCGGTGGACCGGCACGACCACCGAATGGGATCGAACCCCGTTGTTCGATTGCAGGAAGATTTGCCCACCTGATTCCAGCACGTAAACTATCCGTACTGAGGAAGAGTTCTTCACCGATGCGTACATCGGTATTACATTTTCAGTCGTGTACGAGATGGTAAATCCTTGGTGCAGGGTTGGAATGCCCTCATCCACAACATCGAGTGCATTGGCCGTGAGGCCTGGCTTGCCAAACTTGATGCAGATTGCATCAGGTTTAAAAAACGTATCCCAGCCGGGGCGCAATACAAGTTGCACCGGCTTTCAAGATCGGCAAGAGTACCCTGTCTCTCGCGGGGTGATTCGTGTCCAGGTTTCCTGGACAACTCGAACCTTGCCCCTAGGGAGGCCTTCCTCCCTAATGATCCCTACTGGAGGGCGCGCATCTCCTCCGAGATGACCGAAGGGATTGACACCTTGCAATCCCTGTACTCGCGTTCGGGGAGGTCGCTTTCCGTCGGCTCTTTTTCGAACGCAGCGGGTGGGTCTCGTCGTACTGCTCGACGAGATTAAGGACATCAACAATCAATTAATCACGAGGCCCCCAGCTGTACCACGCCAGCGGACGAGGTAACTCGTCCGGACGCCATTCACGTCGCGGTGGTTCAAAATAAGCTCCACTAGAAAGCGTTGACCACATTCTGAGTCCACAATAGGATGTGGTGGTGGCGGGATCACCTGATCCGGCTAGAGGGTCGTATCAGCTTGATGTTCAAGAGCTGAACCGTGCAACGGAACAGTCGCAAGATGACCTGGATCATGAACGTACTCGGCATTATGGGCTTCAGGATCTTGTGGGAGATAAATACAATTCCTTAGCGCACGATCGCTCGGAAGATCGTGCCGCTTTTGCGTTTGCGCAGCTTGAGAACGAACGTTCGATTCGTTCTCTTCGTGACGAGTTGGCTGCAGCTCGTCGATACATCGCTCAACTACGTGAACAGGTCACTTCGCTAGTCGACCAGACTGGCTCGTTGAAACGGGACCACTCGAAGGTGGTCTCGGCTCTTGACCGCGGAGTTGTTCTTCGCATCTCGAAACGGGCTCTTACTGATAGCACGGGCGGAGACTTCAAACATAAAACGTAGGTGCGTACGCATCTTACGGGGAAGTTCAATCGTGTATGCGTTGCCCACTCGGTGCAACACACCAAATGTACCAATGTACCTAGGCAGTAATTTACTGCTGCCCGCGTTTGTCACCGCGTGTTTCGGTAAGTTTACTGTAGACAGTAAAACTAGGTCTCCTACATCAAAAGAAAGAACATTTGCTCTTCCATGTTTGTCTGCATTTTCTTTTCTGTCTGTATAGTGCATCTGCAATCGAGTCTTGAACGAAGTAGACAACCACTTCGCGAGTCAGCAGAAATTCCTCTGCTGATTCATCCTTGTCAACAGCAGTGCGCTTCGTGTGCACTCCTGAAAGAACGTTGTCTTCACCGGTGTGGGTGTCATCGTCCTCACTTTGGTAGTTAATGGCGATGCTGAATGTACCAGCAGCGTTGTCGTCGTCATCACCGACATCGATCCCATCGACATCGGCATCCATCACGCTGACACCATTGTCGACGGGTGATGAGCAAGAACCAGATCGGTTTTTGTTCGAGCGAGTCCACTTCCCCCTTAAACTAGAGCCGCACTATATGAAGGCGGTTAAATGTGGATGGCTTAGGCCATTCACGAAGAACGGTGTACGCTTTGTCAACGCATGCATCGAGTTTTTGATGGCGAATTCCGCCATCGGCAAGAACTCACTCCAGATCATAAAGTAGTGGACATACCCTTGAAGTATCTCTTCGAGGACGCAGTTGACGTGTTCCGTTTGGCCATCTGTTTCGGGATGGTCAGAAGTCGACATCTTCAAACGTGTTCCAAGTGAACGGAACACGGATTGCCAGAACTCCGCTACGAAGCAGGGGTCTTGATCAGACACGAGTTTACGGGGTAACCCGTGAAGTCGGAAGATAGTATCGATGAAGACACTAGCACAGCCCTGGGATGTGATCTACTCGGGCACGTCAACAAGATGTACCGTCTTGCAGAACCGATTAACAAGCACAAGAATACCAGTATTCTTGTGAACGTCTTTAAGAATCCCGAAGACGAAGACCATCGATACGGACTACCAACACTAGGCCGGAATCGGAAGAGGCTGCAAGGGTGCGCTGGATGAAGGACTAGGCTTCACCCGTTGACAAACTCCGCAAGCGTGACTGTGTTTGCGCACAAGCTCGTACTGGCGGGGACAGTAGAAGTGACGACTACTGCAAGATAAGTCTTTACCCTACCACGATTCCTACGTGTTTTGGCCTCACGAAACTCATACGTGATGCGCAATCGAAAATCATATGAGCGGGAACGACGACACGAGGTGTGTCGCCGTTGACTGCTGTACAGTACAGCAGTCCATCACGAACCGAATACCGTTCGGTTGAAGAGCGGTATTGAGACAACAAGCTTTTCAAATCTTGACTGCATGGATTGGATACGTAATCCGTCAACCGCAGAAGAGATTCATCTTCTGTGTATACTTTTCGCACGTCATCGAGCAGATTAGACGACGGAACACTCACTGTTAGTGTCGCGACAGTGGGATCACCCCTTCTGTTGGGTTGAGCAGTCGACTCGAAATCGGGCCGACGCGAAAGAGCATCAGCGACGACACCAAGTCGCCCTGGTTTGTACTCGACGGAGAAGTTTTACTCTGCGAAGAAAGACAGCCACCTCGCCATTCGTTGCGAGAGGCATGGACTGTTTACGGCTGTGCGTAACGACGCATGGTCGGTATATACGATGAAGGGCGTAACTCCTAAGACACATACCCAAAACTTGGCCAGTGCATATTTCATGGCAAGGAATTCCTTGTCATGCACCGGATAATTTTGCTCAGCTGCTTGCAGCTGACGTGATTGATAACAGACGACACGCTCAACGCCGTCTGAGTCGTAGTGCATTAACGCGCAGCCGATTTCAATTGGCTGGCGTCACGTACCACATAAAATGATCTATCCTGGTCTGCAATCGCCAACACAGGCGATTGCACCAAGCTTTTCTTGATGCCTTCAAAAGAGTGCTGACACTCAGCGCTCCATGATCACTTCTCGTTTTTCTTTAATAGACGAGAGAGATGTACAGTCATCTCGGCATAGTTGCGCGAGTATTTGTGCAAATACGCTGCCAAGCCAAGAAACTTTCGAAGTCCCTTAACGTCGAATGGCACAGGCCAGTCGCTAATCACCTTGATCTTTTCCAGATCAGGGCGTACGCCGTTCTTACCCATGGTGCAGCCAAGAAGTGGTATTTCGTTCACTGCGAATGGACACTTCTTGAGGTTCTCGAGCAACTCATGCTCTCTCATCAGTCTAAGAACCTTCCGGACGTGGATTCTATGATCCTTCAAGTCCGTCTTTCCATCCATAGCCCGGCTATGGACGAAGACATCGTAGAAGTATCTCGGTGCAAAATCGCGCACCTATCGCAACAGGTTCGTAACACATCTGTTAAACGTTGCGGGGGCGTTACTTAGCCCCTGTGGCATCACTAGCCACTCCCAGAGCATACCACTGGGGGTGATCACTGCTGTGTACGGGATATCCCGTTCCCGCACGAGGATCTGATAGAATCCATCCATCAGATCCATGGACGAAAAGATGGTACTTTTGCCATACCATCTATGATTACGTCTTTTCTTGGGATCGGCGTTTGATCCGGTACCGTTGCAGGTTCTATTTGTTTAGCGCGTGCACTATCTATTACCCTCCTGTGTTCTTTCGCACACAGAAGGTCGGAGAGCTGTGTGAGGATGTTGATTCCCTCACATGACCAGCCACTAAACGATCGGCAAAGAATTTGTCGATCGCTGTGACCTGTTCACGAGGCAGTGGCCACTGCTTCCTGACACAGTACTTCGAACCAGGTTTCAGTTCGATCTCATGCCGAGTGCCTTTGTCCTTGGGCAGCTCGCATGGCACGGATTCCTGGAAAGCATCCCTGAATTCGACCAAATCCTTATACAAAGGATTTGTCTCAAAGACTCCCAAGATTGAGACGTGTATCACTCATTCCGGGTCTTCTCATCGAGGCCACTCTCATCCATCGATGAGCTACTGAGAACCCGTTCGTTCTCAGCAAACACTTGTGCCGACCGAATATCGGCGACGTACTCGTCCTCTGTGACGAGTACGCGGATCTGCTTGAACTTGTCACTACGCAGATCTCGCAAGAATCTTTTCGATTCTAGCGTTGGCAACTTGACTACCTCCAAAGCTGACTTCGGGGGCGTCACCAGATCAAGTGTATAAGCGACTACACTTGATCTGTCATTCACCAAGACATTCACTGTCTAGGTGATTTCCTGGTAAAACACAACCGAAGGTGGTAGGGGATCCACACCCTCAACATAACTCTCTCGGTAGTATTTAATCTCAGCAACGCTGGAACTTTCTTCCATATCGTGAACTATCACGGCCACGTCCTCTTCGATCGACTCTCTTTCAGTCGATCGGCCTTGCTCTAAGATCGACTTTCTATTAGTCGATCTCGCTTCAACGTGTTGTCCATCCTAAACAACACTACTTTCTCTTTTCGGATGCACCCTTCTTGGTGTGCATCCTTGTTCCAGTCCACTCGATCTCTTCGAGTGGTGAACCTTCGGCGCAATTGTGTCTCTACACAGGTGCCGGAAGCTGGTTCCACAGTGCAATGGCCTTCTACACTGTGATCTTGTGCAATCGTACTAACGACCGTACCACAAGTGAGGCCACCGCACTCACTCGTAGTACATCCACACGCTTGTGGACGCTCCAAGACGTTCATCAGATGGACATCCGATGAAAAAACAGCAGGCATCTTCACGGATCGATGCTGCCAGCTATCCCATAGCTGGTACTTTCAGACCAAGGATAGCATCGAATTTGCACATCTAAATCTAGTACGATGAAGTCATCATCGTACCGCTTTCCTTCTTGCGTGTAGTATCTTCCCACTACACGTTTGTCCACTGTTACGGACGCGCCTGTAGCAAGGCACACCGTC